GCGTCAGCGACCTGGTTGGCGGCGCCGCGCCGGTACTTGATCTCGAAATCGTATTGCTGTAGCTCGAATCGCCAGCGGCCTAGCCGGCCGGTGGGGGAGTCCATACTGTGGAGCCAACGCAGTGCCTGGTGATCGGTGACCACGGTGAACCGATATCCCTCCAGGTATGTCCGCATGCGCCGGATGCCCCAGACGACCGCCAGGCACTCCAACTCGGTGGCGCTGTAATTTCGCTCAGCGGGATTTAGCGTTCTGCTCGCATATGCGATGACGCGCTCCCCTTCCTCGTGTTGCTGGGTGAGCACCGCCCCCAGGCCCAGAGCACTAGCGTCCGTCTATAACACGAAGGTCCGTGTAAAATCCGGACATGCGAGCACCGGGGTGGAAGTGAGGGCGGCCTTTAGCGCCTGGAAGGCCTCCTCTTCCTGTGTCCCCCAGTGCCATCGAGCCGACTTCCGGGTCAACCTGGTAAGCGGCGCGGCGGTCCGGGCGAATTGTGGTATAAACCGCCGGTACCACGAGGCCATCCCTAGAAACTGGCGCACCTTGCGTATCGTCGTAGGGGTCGGCCAGTCGGCGACAGCGTTCGTCTTCTCGGGGTCGGTTCGTAGCCCCTGTGCGTCCACGACATGCCCTAGGTATCGGAGGCTGTTGCGTCCGAACTGGCATTTAGCCGGGTTTGGCCGCAGGTGAGCGGCTCGGAGCCGTTGAAACACCTCCTGGAGGACGCGTATGTGTTCCTCAAAAGTCCGTGTGGTGACGATAATATCATCCAGGTATACCAGGACATGTGGCTCCAGTTCCGCTCCCAGCACGGTGTCCAAGAGGCGTTGGAACGTGGCGGGGGCGGAATGTAAGCCGAACGGCATCACCCGGAACTGCATTAACCCGCGGCCGGGAACCGTGAAGGCAGTGATAGGGCGGCTGGCGGGGGTTAATGCCACCTGCCAGTACCCGTTTTTGAGGTCGATGGTGCTCAGGTACCGGGCGCCGCGGAGCTTGTCCAGCGTGGCGGTCACTTGCGGCAGTGGGTAGGCATCTTTCTCCGTTACCTCGTTTACTTTTCGGAAGTCGATGCAGAACCTCCGGCTGCCGTCTTTTTTTCGCACCAGTACGACCGGGGAGCTCCACGGGCTATGCGCGGGTTCTATGATGCCCTCTTGCTCCATTTCTTGGACCTCTCGGTCAATGATGCCTTGCATCGCCGGGTTACGGGGCCGAAACCGTTGTTTGATGGGCCGGCTCCCATGCTTCAGTCGGATCTCGTGCTGTACGCAGGGTGTGGGCCCTGGCACGGTCGCAAACTGTTGGAACTCCTCCTCTAAGACTTCCTGCAGCCTGTGTCGCTGGCGTGTTGTCATAGGCGCAAGTCCCCCTGCTTCGGTGCTCAGGGGTGCGAGACGGAGCGGAGTCGTGGTCGTGGTCGGGGCCGCCGGAGGGCATAATGGTAGCTGCAGGCGGGCCCACAGGTCGGCCCCAATGATCATGTCCTCGATCAGGGCCGGCATTACGAAAAAATCGTGGCTGACCCCGCGCCGCCCCACTTTCAGAGGCAGCCGCACACTGCCGGCGAGGCTAATGGTCGCTCAATTCGCCAGCCTGATCTCTTTCTCTTCCAGTCGGGGCGTACAGCGTACTCGCCGCGCCAGGTCTGCGGTGCCGTGATTAATAAAGAAGGCCTCCGCGCCGGAGTCTATAAGGGCCCGTACGGCATGTCCCCGCAAACGGACGGTGACGAACGGGCGCGGCTCGTACTCTATGCGGACTCCGTCAGGGACCGGGGCTCGGCCTGGTCTACCCCGGCCCGGGTGGCGTTTCCCGGCCGTGGATGGCACTCTCGGGTCAGGATTCCGTCCCTGCCACATTCCGAGCAAAATTTTCGGGCGGGCCGTCTACAGTTGGTTCGGGTGTGTCCCCGTTCTTTACACCTCCAGCAACATTCCTGACGGTTATAGGCGGCTGCCAGGGTGGGCGGTCGCGGCCGCTCTGGGGGCCGGCGGGTGGAACCGCTGGCCGTGATGGCCTCGAATTCCGCCGTCCGAGAGCCTAGCTCGGCGAGAGTCCTGACGTCATCCCGTCGTACGTACAGTTTGTACCCGGGTAGGAGGCCCTCGTATAGTTGTTCTATCTGTTCGTCCGCTTCCAGGCGGCCGGCTCGCCGCATGAGGGTGAGCACCGCTGTGGCGTACTTAGCGTAGGGCTCCCCTTCCAGCTGGCGCCGATGTTGTAGCTCCCGTACTAACTGGGCTCGGTAGCGCCGTGGCAGGTATTGTTCCCGAAAGGCGCGGACAAAGTCATCCCAGTGGGTCCAGCTGGCGCGGTGGTTTCGGTACCATAATAGCGCGTCGCTACGCAGGAGCTCTGGTAGCCCGGTTAGCATTTGCGATTTGCTAAGTCCGTAGCCCACCTGCAGTTCCTCTATTCGCTCTAGGAATGCGACGGGGTCTTTGCCGTCGAATCGGCATCCCCATTTCCGGATTTGGTTCATCGTATCTACTGCGCTGGAGGCCTCGGACGGGGCAGGACTCGGGGCTCGTATCCTTTTACGATTCGCCTCCTCGGTATTCACGACCGGTCCCGGGATCCGGAATTGCTCTGGGTGCTGTCCGACGTAGCTGCCCATACTTCGCCTCATTTCGTCCAAGGTGCCTTCCGTGCTGAGGTCATACTCCTCCAGCAGCTCCGTCAGCTGTTCTTTACTTAGGGTGTAGATCCACCCTTTCCTGACTACCCCTTCCATGGCCC